TCTTTTACCCCAAGCATGGACTTATGGTTATGTGTTGGAACCCAATTATTAATTGGGTGTTATTTTGATGTTGACAGTTCTGGAATCTGTCATCCAGCAGCTAGAGTTTGGTCCGCGGGACTTCAGCAGTGTGAGGTGAGTTTTCCTCCAGTAGGAACAGGTCGAAGGCACCAATATCGGCCTATTTATATATGTTAGCATATGCCAGACTTCGTTCCGATGTCGGGGTAAGCCCGATGTAGGTTATATGTTTCTGGACTTCGGTCCGATGTCAGGGAAAGCCCGAGGAATGTATGTATGCTTGATGTCTTCGTGATTTTTGCATGTGTTTGTTTATGTATTCCAGGCTTCGGTCCAATGTTGTGGCAAGCCCGAGGAATGTTTAGCTTATATGTTATGTTTATATGTTCCGAGCTTCGGTCCAATGTCGGGGCAAGCTCGAGGAATGTTTAAGCTTATATGTTATGTTTATATGTTTCGGGCTTCGGTCTGATGTCGGGGTAAACTCAAGGAAGGTTTATATGTTTATGGTATGTGTTTATGTTATATGCTTTTTGATATGTTATATGTATACCGGACCTCAGTCCAATGTCGGGCGGGGTCCGATGTCAAACTTCGGTCTGATGTCGGGTGGGGCCCTATGTCGGACTTCGGTTCGATGTCGGGAGGGGCCTGATGTCGGACTTGTCCGATCTCGGGCGGGGCCCGATGTAGCGAGCAAGGCCCAATGTGATGTGATTATATGATTATGTGTATGGTATGTGGTAGTTTGCGGAGACTCACTAAGCTCCGTGCTTACAGTTTTCAGTTTTAGTTTTAGGTACTTCCGCTAGTAATGGGAAGAGCTCGGGATGATTGCATTGCACACACCATAGCGTTTAGCCTGGGATGAATTACTCGAATATTAAACATGTGATTTGATACAGTATTTTGATATGATGTTTTGAGATACTATCATTATTGTTTTTATGTGATGTTTTTGTTTACCATGGTATTATTTATAAATTAAAATGAAATTTTTGGACTGTATTTTTTGTACGTTTCACAATCCCAGGTTCTTTTTTCCCAGAACTTTCACATTCTTCATGAACACCGGTAGAACCTCTTCCACCACTTCTACCCCTTCTTCTACCACCTCTTCCACCACCTTTTCCACCTCTTGTACCACCTCTTCCACCACCTCTCCCAAGTCTTGTACAATTGGTCAATTATGGATTCAATCTTGGCCTTCCAATTTTCTTCTTAGGCTTTGGTGTTGGTTTGACTGAGGGATTGTTGCAAGATACTTTATTATGCTCTATTTGCATATAATTCTAACATTGGATAGTTCTTCCCTTAGAGGAGAGTTGGGAGAACCTGTCTTCATGCTCAGAAACATGCATTTTCCTTTTCATACAAGACCTTTTTGTCATCCATCTTTCAACGGGTGGTAGTGGTTTGGTGTAAGGTGTTGGTTCCCACATATTACTGCCATTAACATGAAGGATGTTAAACTCATTAGCAGCTAAAAACTTGTCCTTACCAAACCATGTGCTGATGAATCTAGTTGGATTCTGTTGTGTGTAAATTATGGTTGCTTGGGCATGGACACAGGAGATCCCAAACAACTCCCAAAGTCTGCATGTATAGTACATCCCCTCTAAGGTCATTCCATATTAATGGAAGCCATTTCTCACTTCATAAGCATTCAAACCACTAGGATGAACATACCAAGTCTTGCAAACACATTAACAGTTTTAATTATTATACATATTGATATCAATACTAAACTTATACATTGTCTTAATTTTATAATACTTACTTGATATCAAAACCAAACTCATCCATTTTCTTAATAGGTACTGGACGCACATCATTCACCCATTTATGTGCTTCTTGCTTCAAATTAAATAACCTTTCCATCATATGTAGTCTAATCTCCTCAAGCATGGGCAACAAAGGCTTCTTTCTGGCATCAAGTATGATTACATTAAAACACTCTGTCGTTCCATTTTTAACAGCCTCACATGTCATTCCACCTTTAAAAAATGTTTTGCACCAAGATTTAGGCTCCCTTTCCATCAAATGATCATAAGCAACAGGATTGACTTCTCTGATGTTCTCCATATTCAATTTGAATTTTCCCTCAACAGTTGACTTGGAAACTGTCCAAAACATATTTTTGAACTCTATATCACTGAAGTCCTTTCTGAAATTTTCATACACATGTCTTGCAAATTGTATGTGCTCCACATGTGGCAGTACAACCTTTACATCTTCCAAAAAAACCCTATCAATTACATTAAAAAATTTCATTAGTAACTGCTTGATACATGTATAAATAAAATGAAAAAAAAAAGATAATCGAAAACATTACCTTGTGTTGATCATAAATAACACACAAATTCAAGCCTCCTTGTAATTCCAGGTCATCATGCAATAGTTCCAAGAACCGCTTCCAGTTGGGCTTGTTCTCAATTTCAACTACTGCCCAAGCAATGTGACACACTTGGTTATTTGCATACCTCCTTATGGCAGTTAGCAGCTCACCTTTACATTGTCCCTTTAAAAAAACTCTCATCAAGCCCAATAACTCTTCGACAACCAACTTTCCATCCTTTTTTGATAGTCTTAAAACATGTATACATTCTATGGAAAGTAGTAGTGTTATCAGGGTTTACAGTGACAGATATTTGAATTCTACTCCTTGGATTAGACCTCATCAGCTCATGTCCATAATCTTATACTTTTGCATAGTGATCACTCAACTATACATCTATTAAAGAAATTGCCCTACACTTAGCTCTATAACATTTTGACCATGAAACTTTGCAATGGAACCTGCTTTGAACAATAGCTTGCATTTCCTTACATTTCAGATTTGGTTTCCAAACCATCTCCTTCAGAAACTGCTAGCTATCCATGTGGGATCCATAAGATTAGCACTATGGAAATTCCTAACACAGGTATGTTGCTCAACCAAATTTTTGATTTGGAATGATCTTTCAGTGCTCATCCATGAGGCCCTTACAACAAAGGGACATTGAAATTTCTCATGGTCACTTGCACATACATCCACGATCCTTACACTATCACATTTTTTTTATCGTAATTGGATAACCCCTACTTATAGAGTAATTTATCAAACAAATCTTTAATTGGTGTGGTGATTCATACATCTCCCCACGAACTGGCTTCATATTGTTCCATTTCACCTTCGGATCATGGGTTGAGTATTGAAACTGCAATTTGTACTCATCGTCACCCTCACTATCACTCAACTTCTCCTGTTATGCTTCATCCTCCGACATTCCTTCAGTATCATTTATGTTTATCTCAGGTATGGTGCATTCGTCAAGCGCTTCGTGTGTGAGTTTTTAGGAACTCATCTTTGCATCGACTTCTTTGTATGTGTTTGAACAACTCATCCAATTCCACATCAATGGTATCCAAGTCATTTATTGTCTCAATTATCACTACAAAACATAAATTAATCAAATACTATAAGGGAAACACGATATTGGAGGACCACGTGGATTTTCTTACCTTTGATTCTTCTCAGGTAAAGTTTTGCTTCGATGGAGGGTAAGAAAAGGTTTTTACAGAGGAGAAGTGGATGACAGAGAGGTTAATGGAGGGTGATAAGGACAGTCAGCCATACAAGGGTTACCGTTCGAAGGGCTAAACTGAGTGTAATAGCCGGTAACTGTCCTTTTTCATAAGTGGAAATTAATTTATGACTAAATCATAAATTTAAGCAAAACTTTAGGACTTTTCTGTAGATTTCCCTATTGAAATAATCTAAAAGGGGAAAAAAGTTCAAATACCAATTCAAACTAAACAGTCACAATTTATGGTGCTTTGATGATAATAACTTATATTTATATAATCTATTTAGATGATCGATGTAAATTAACTAGTACAGTGTCTAATTTGAGGTATTTAAATTAATTTATATACATGAATTCTATATTCAAATGAGATATACACTAGGCTTATAAGTCTAATTTATTCCGATAATATAATTTTCAGTCTAGAGACTGTTAATTAGAACCATTGAAAATTTAAATCTTTTGAATAATTTAGAAGACTTTTGTATTGTAAAGATGATGTTTATTTTAAATCAGTGTTTCTGAATTGATTGATACATTCTCTCATGCTTTGAAAAAACAAGTTAATTTGGATTGTGTAGATATTCAGACTGATTTCCACACTTCAACTCAGAGAAATGATTTTAACATGACTTTGGGACATTCAGGAAACTAAAAACTCCGAAAATGCTATGAAATTCATTTATAAATGTTATCAAAAAAATATCATTTAAAGGTGTTTCAAACTTTCAATAACCCTTTGTATGGAATTTCGAATTGATGTTTTTTTTATTTCCTCTACAATTCTTTAGTTTGAAGTAGCAATTATCTAGTATTCATCTTTTCCCTGATCAAAAGTATTCAAACAACAATTTGCTTTAGATTTAAATACACGATTTTCTGTAGGTTGTTTTGCAATTTAATTTGGGTTCAATAAAATTGAACATATAGCTATAACTCATAATTTGCAATAAGTTTTAGCTTTGATTGTCTTTTAATTATTTAAGTTGGTTTTTCATCCATTGTCACCAGAGTTGGTGCTGGAGTATGCCTGTGTAGACTCTGATTATAAACAGAATAGATTATTAGGTACTTACGTACGTCAAATTATAAATGATTTACTTATATGTGTTTACTAGATTAATATGTAGATCCTGTTAACTATATGCTTTACTGAAGATTTGCTGTGTTTTATATTATTATGAGAAAAATGTCAATAAAGTAATGATGTATAAATGAAAAGTTATAAGACAATCACGAACCAGAAACTCCCAATTCATCATTCAATACGCCAAAGAGAAAGTTGACATTTAGAGAAGATCCAAACGAAGATCAAATACAGCTTATATCAACAACAACAAGAACACAGATTTATAGAACCCTAATACCATGGTTGTGGAGAAAAGCTAACAAACAACGTCTGTAAAAAATCTAAGCCCTCTCACCCCTGATCCTTCTAGCCAATTGCATATCCTTTGGCATAATTGTAACCCTCTTGGCATGAATCGCACACATATTTGTATCCTCGAACAATCCCACCAAATAAGCCTCGGACGCCTCCTGAAGTGCAGCCACCGCGCTGCTTTGAAACCTCAGATCGGTCTTGAAATCCTGTGCGATTTCTCTCACAAGCCTCTGAAATGGAAGCTTACGAATGAGCAACTCAGTACTCTTCTGGTACTTCCGGATTTCCCTGAGTGCCACAGTTCCCGGCCTGAATCTGTGTGGCTTCTTCACTCCACCTGTCGCCGGAGCTGATTTCCTTGCCGCTTTTGTTGCAAGCTGTTTCCTTGGTGCTTTCCCACCGGTTGATTTGCGAGCAGTTTGCTTAGTTCTTGCCATCTCTTTTGCTGCAAAATTAAAGAAACTGCTTTAGGGTTTGTGTGTTGGAATCATAGATTGTATGTGTTTTATAAAGCTTTTTCTGAAACCATTGGTAGCGGGAGATTTTGAAATATTGGAGAAAAATCTCCGCAAAAGTCTACCAACCGTTGGATAGGAGATGAATCGATGGCCTAGGATACCTTCACATAGAAAACGCGGATTGTGATCCGTGTGAAATTGCTACTGATTTATTGTTTGACGTGAGAATAATAAATGACACAGGAGTAATTAATTCTATTTCTAAAAAACAAAAAAATATATAACAAGTTTGTAAATAACATTACAAAACATTATGTGTTTTTTTATAAAATCAAATCTCACCTACTCCTAAAATAATTCTTAATTTTCATATCTTTACTATATTATTAAGGATATTGCCCATTTCTTGAAAATTAAGAGGTATACATTTTATAATACCATGTACAATTTATTAAGCTTTCAATGTATACGCATACACGCATGTATCATTGTAACGTATGGTCGTAGCTTCTCGTGGAAAACCCTAATACCCTCTAGACACTATTAGCCATCGTTTCTTCCGAAAGCTTCTTCCAAATCTATTCCTTCTACCTCCTCACTTTCTTCAATCTCTAATAGGCTTCCATTACTACCACCCTCCTATATTTGTCGCTATTGCCACCCTAACGACATTGTCGTTACCTTCAGTCATCGTCTGCAGCCCCACTTCTACCTAGAAACTGTAACTCTATCTCGCTGCCACCATCAGACACTATTAGCTGCAAGCCCTAACCCTAGAGTGTCCCTTCCATCACTAATTCTATGGCTTTCGTCGTGTTCATATTCGCCTTACTTCTGAAAGTCTCCACTGCCCTTTCTAGTCAGAACACAACCCATCTATTCTCTGCCATCCTCATTTTTGGCAACTCGACTGCAGATTCCGGCAACAACAATTACATAAATACCCCATTGAAAACCGACCATCCCCCATACGGGGAAGACTTTCCTGGAAAAAAATCCCCACCGGATGATTTTCAAATGAGAAACTGGTGTCGGACTTTTGGGCACCTCTGCTGCGAATAAAGCAAACCATTCCTCCGTTCCTGCAGCTTAATATCTCCAATTTTGATATCCGCACCGGAGTGAACTTCGCTTCCGCCGGATCCGGCTACGATGACATGACGTCTCAGATTTCACAGGCGATTCTTGTGACGAAGCAGTTCTATTACTTTAAGGAGTATATAAAGAGATTGAAGAAAGTTGTGGGGATCAAAGTTGAGGGGGCGTTGGTGTCAATTAGTGCTGGAACAAATGATTTCCCGATTAGCTACTACGATCTTCCTTCTAGAAGAGACGATCTCTCCATGGAAGATTACCAGGATTATATATTGAAGAAGCTTCAGAATTTCATCAATGTAATTCTCTCTCTCTCTCTCTCTCTCTCCCCCTCTATCTCTCTCTCTCTCTCTGTCTTTATTTAAACAGTTTGTTTGATTTTGTGGTGGTGGTTGATAGGAGTTGTATAAGCTCGGATGTCGAACAATGGTGGTTACAGGGCTACCTCCGATGGGGTGTTTACCGATTAAAATGTTATCCAGATTCTCGAGAACATGTTTGATGCATCAGAACACCGATGCTCGAGTCTACAATCAGAAGCTCATGAATCTGCTGTCGCATATTCAATCTTCTTTGAAAGGAAGCCAGATTATGTACCCAGATATCTACACTCCGATGATGGAGATGATCCGAAATCCACGAAAACATGGTAAATTTGTGGCATTAATTTTAATTCATATGTGTTTATTGCATTCTTGTTCGTTTGCTAATTTTATATACACACCACACCACACCACATACCTCCTACTTTTGTTTTTTGAGTGGCTTACCCCTATGATCTTATTTTCATTTTATTGTATTTTACTTTTAGCATTTTATTATATTATAATTTTTAATTGTAATTCATGAGAGGCGTTCGGGGAGATGAAAAGCGGGCAGCTACACAGGATTCAATTTTTTTATTATATTATATATGTGTATATATTTATTTAAAAATAAAAAGCTTATATTAACGATAAGGGTTTTTTTTCCTTACTCGTTCAAGGCATGTGAAGATATTTAAATCATCTGGACCGGCCATGTTGTTACCCTCATCCGCTTATATCCATCACCTCTCCATATTTGCCTTTTGTTTTCCACCCTCCTTTACGATTGAGTCTCCGGCCAGGAGCGGACTTTGTAAGTCAGCATTTATGAAAGAAAAAACAAGACGCCACTTGGTACATCTTTCTATATTATGTGCAAATCGATTGAATAAGGAGTTTCTGATTCTCGTTTTGTTGTTATTCAATAAGTTTGTTGGATGAACTACATTCCAGCTTCATCTATTTGTTAACTATGTTCTTATTTGTATGTTTGGTTGTGTTCAATTCTTGAACCTCCCTTACAATCTTATCTAAAAATCTTCAAATTCATACCACATCACAAAACATTCATACCACACATGTAAGTCTCCGATCTGCTTATGTATCAATCAGATCCAATTGATGGTGCGAAATCCCAATTAATTGGATGATGTCATATCAAATAGAAGAGAATGAGAAGAAGAAGAATATGAATCGGTAAACACCCCATCGGAGGTAAACACCCCATACAAAAAATATGAATCGGCATGAATGATACTCCATATATGAATGATGCTCCATATATGAATGATGCATCAGCTGGTGACCCATGTCTCATATATGAATGATGCTCCATACATAAGATTCTCTCTCACACACTATTCTTCTCTCTAACTATCTCTCTCTACAATATGCTCTCTTCTAGCCTTGCACTTCTCACCCTATATATATGAGACATGGGTCACCAGCTGTACACGAGTGTACAGCTGCACACGCATGTGCGGCCGTACACAGGGTGTGCGGCCGCACACACATGTGCAGCCGTACACACCCACAAAATTACATAGTATATTATAGAAAAATATATTTTCCTAGAAAAGCAAAGTATAAACCAAATTTATAGACCCAACAATCTCCCCCTTGGTTTATAGCTTTCTTTTCTAATTGACCCAACAAGCCCCCCCCCCCCCCCCCCCCCCAAAAAAAAAAAAAAGTAGTTGGCTTTTCTTGTTAATCTTCAGTTGGAGATTGGCTTCAGCGTTTATCTTCGATTTCTTCACAACATCAGGATGAACATATGAATCTTCCATGAATGACTTCATCTTGATCAGTTGGACATTTCTTCAAGATTTGACTCTTAATACACATTAGGTGAGGAGGCTTGATGAAAAGATTCTTGAAAGATAGCAGTTTCAGCTTGAGAATTTTTAGGGAGAACAACGGAGAGAAATAATCTTCTAGATCACTTCAACATGTACAAGATAGCAACAGACTGATTGAGGAAACTTCAATACAATCCGTCACATAATCTTGAAGTCAGCTTCACCTTGCATCTGGGGTTGAAGGATTGAATGTCAAAAGAATAATCTTCATTTCTTGCTCCTTTGAATGAGAATTCTTCGATGATCACGGATGAAGCTTTGGCTCAAAAATCTCGATACAGTCTCCAAGAGTCTCATCTATGTCTGAAATCACTTTTCAAGACAAAAAAAAAAAAACTAAAAGAAAAATTAGCACACAAAAAATATTTTTGGATTTTTGATATTTTATGGAAAAAAAAAACAGAAATAACATTATTTTTTGATTTTTAATTTTCTAATTTTTGTTTGATTTTTGATTTTTTTTTTGAATTTTTGTTTGATTTTTTTTTTTAATTATCCCCCTAAATTTGTGCATAGAGGAAAACTATGAACAAATTTAACAAAAAAAATTCAGGATCAAAGTTGTTAGACAGTCTTAATCCGTTTGTCAGTACCTTCCCCTTCATGAATAGATCTGGTCGATCGCCGGTATTGTGGTCCACTTAAGCACGAAAAATTGTGACAAATTTTAGGAATGCTATCAATGACATGACAGATTGATCCTAAGTACTAGATAAAAATTCCTAAGGACCATTTATCTGACGACGACCAAGGATATTGTTGTCCACCTAAATTGAGCAGCGAGATCTACAGACAATCTATAATTGTTCAATTTTAGATGTACTAGAACATGTTTCCTGCTTCCTGATATACCCAATAATCAAGAACTTCCGCGATACTCCTTACTTTAGGTGACCAGACTATTATTCATAGAGAGGATAGATTTAGATTATGATTAATTATAGTTTTAGAGGGTTTGAGAAGTAGAAGGATGCATATGTTCTGTACCAGGTCGAATTATTAATCACACAAAGGAGATAACATATGGCTAACAGATAAAAAGAATTTCATAGATATAAGATGCAGAGAAATAGATTTGCATATGTTGCAGTCCAGGTGGGATCTCTTCAAATCACGTAGAGGAGGCAACATATGACTAACAATAAGAAAGAAATAAAATAATTTTCTACAGATCTACTGTATCAGAATTCCCCAGTCGCTCCGTCAATACCGGAATTAAGGACAGAATCCGTAAATCGAGGAAAAGTAAAACCACAATTCTAGATACGGGTTCTTTAATGTGACTAGTGGATTCTCATGTATATCTCCCTGCTCAACCTAGCCAAGCGTCGTATTTTCAGGTTAAACGGATCTATCTAGGTCAAGATTTGTCAAGTCATTTGATTTCTTAAGTTCATCTTTTCCTAGTCAAGTCCATTTAAATCCTTCGTGCCTACCAGCGTATCGAACACAGAGCCTAGACAATTCAGCTTTGGTACTTTACACAAACTCAGATTGCTCGTTATCACTTGTTGATATCACTTCCCAAACAATACCTACTAAATAAAAATGATAAGAAAATGAAAAATTGTCTTTAAAATGAATCAGTGTAAGGTAAACTCAGGAGTACAAAGAAGAAAATACAAACCGTAATTCACAGATTGAATTTGCATCCAGAAGGTCTGAGAACAGCACACATAATCTTAGAACAGATCCAAAAATTCTTCACTGCGTTAAGCACAAACCCCAATGTGTGATCCCTTCTTTTCTTCCCTTCCCGCAAAGGACACATACTCTCAAACAATGTTCTGAGTGTTGCACAGTTGAGAGATGCCTCCTATCATGTGCCTAGAATAGCCATTATTAACAAACTAAAATATGATGATATGCGTCCATAGCTGCTCCGACATAGATCGGGATCAGTTGGTATTTGGAACCCAACCCATTTTGAAATTGGGTCGACCTTTTTCATCCTTGTATGATACTCTATCCCATGACATATCCTACTTATCGCAAACAGAAGATGTAGAAATATTAGAA